GGGGGGGGCAGGGGGAAAGAAAGAAAAAGAGGCTAAAGGAGTGCCATGGGGAGTGAGGGTCCCTGGCTTCCCTGCCCACCTCTGCGCCCTTCTTCCTTTTCCTGGGGCATCCGCACTGCAGAAATAATCCGGTTTGATCCCACTTTAACTGCCATGGCTCAATGCTGTGGGATGCTGGGACCCAATTCAAGCCAAACCCAGTTGGAGTTTTCCTGTAACGCCCAGGCGAGAAAATGCCAAGGGATATTTCCTCTGTAGGTATTGAGGCTAGGTGGGAGGAATACTGTAATCCTCTCTCCAAAACACACTGCAGAAATCATCCAGTTTGAGACCGCCTTAACTGCCTTGGCTCAATGCTGCTAGGGAATCCTGGGAATTGTAGTTTATTGTGGCACCAGAGCTCTCTGACAGAGAAGGCTCAATGTCTCAGTACAAACTACAATTTCCATGAGTCCCTATCACTGAGCCAGGGCAGTTAAAGCAGTCTCAAACTGGATGATTCCTCCACTGTGCTTTGGACCTTAGAAGCATGAATTTATATTTCTATTAGAGTTTTTAGCTGTTAATTTTGTTATGTCCTACATTTTTCTTGCATGATCTACAGTCCCCCTAAGTTGCAGCATGGCTTTAAAAATGTTTAGGGTCCTGTGGAAGGGATTATGGGCCACACTGCAGGAATAAAGCAGTTTGACAGCACTTTAAGTACCATGGTTCCATCCTGTGGAATCCTGGGGGTTTGTATTTTGTTGAGACACTAACAGAGGAGGCTACGTAGTCTCCTCAAGCTACAGATCCCAAGATTCAGTGGCAAACTACAGATCACAGGAGTTAAAGCAGGGTCAAACTGCTTTAATTTCTGCAGTGGAAATGCTTGTTATTGTGTGTCTTCAAGTCATTTCCAATTTTTCCATTCCAACTTATGGAGATCCTAAGGTGACTGTTGTTGCTGTTGTTGTTGCTGTTGTGCCTTCAAGTTGTTTCTGACTTATGGCATGGGGTTTTCTTTGCAAGGTTTCTTCAGAGGAGGTTTGTCATTGCCATCCTCTGAGAATGTTAGAAATTATTTTGGTTTCATCTTGGACTCAGAATGTGCCTTGGAGTAAGTATGTATGTACCACTATTCTCTGCTTATTTGTGGAAATAATACAGTGTTTCTGGAACAGAAGTTGTGAAGATCTGGGAAAGCACATTCTCCTATCATCTGCTACCTATCTACCACTTGTGGAAATCATTTTACTGGAACAGAGGAAGCACAGTGGACATAGTTTGGGATATACAGTTCTCTGTAGCACTTTGTATTGTGTATTCGGTGTTTTGTAGTATTACTGCAATGTGGTTACTTATGTATAAATATATATCATTGTATATGTGGTAGAGTTGTGGTTTCATTCCTTTTGGACATTGGTCCAAAACTCTGCAATGTGTTTTCGACCATTGTTGTAATATAGTTCATTATATTGTTAGTTTCTCCCTAATATTTTTTTCTATGTTTGTTGTGAAACTCTCCTGTTGTGTGTGTTTTATTCTCACTATTTTCCAACCCCCTTACTGGAACAGCTATGACTTAATATGAACATTTTAACTTTAACCGTTAAAGTATCCAGAGTCAGTTGCTTCTTTTTAATCCCTTTATTTTATAGTGCAAAAAAATGTCATTTAGAAACAAATCCTTCAGTGAACATAGGTCCCACCAAAACAATTTGCTTTAGAAGAGCACTTTGGAAAGAACAGTTAAGCTGGTGGCCATAACACCTGCACTGCATTTTGCCCCTTAATTTTCTGAAGTTAAGTCTTACACATTAATGCAAAGCAAAAACCACAGAGAGAAAAAGAGAGAGATACCTGGTTTAAACAGAAAGACAAAAAAGCAGTCTAAACTGTGGGGTTTTTTTTTAATGTTTTGGCATATTTGGCCCAGCATGATGTGCTGGTTTGAGTGTTGGACTATAACTGTGGAGATCAGGGTTCGATTCTCTGCCTGAGCATAAAAACCCACTGGGTGGGCTTGGGGTTAGTCACACTCTCTCAACCTCAGAGGATGGCAATGGCAAACCCCCTCTGAAGAAACTTGTTAAGGGCTCATTCCTATTATGGTTTACATTGATTTACTGATTGGTTATTTTATTGTATTTATGTTTGTCTTAATTGTTATTTTAACCTTACATCAGTTTAATTTAGAGGGTGGGAGGGTTAGGGATTGGGATGAAGGATTGTTTTAACTTGTTGACTGTTTTATTATTATTATTGTTATTGTTATTGTTATTATTTAAATGTGCCTCATCCCCATTGGAAACGGTTTCAGAGGCGACTGCAGTCGTTCTGACTCTCTTTGAAGTGAGACAAATGTAAAAAGTGAGCTCTTTTTGAAAACTATTTTTTTTAAAAGAATTGATTCAGACGAGTGTTCAACAGGTGTGATCGACGGATCTGATCCACATCGCACTGGAGGGACCGCTCAGCTGCTCGGCCTCCATTGCCTGTGTGCCCCTTCTTGGAAGGCAGGGACATCATGGGGTTAAGTTACCCCCTCCTTCTCATTGCCCACTTCTTTTCTGGGCACCTTATTTTGCCCACCTCTCTGCTTTGGCTGACGCTTCCTGAGCCACCGAGCCTTCCCTGGCCACCTTATGTCCATGGCTGTCGGCCTCAGCTGTCTCCCCGGGCCCCTGCTTTACCTTCGGCCTTGCCTTTCTGGGCTCCTGCAGGCTCTTTGGCCCTGTCTGTGCTCCGAGGCTCCCAGCGGGCACTCAGGGATGCTGCACCAAGTAGCCTGGCCTCTCCTGGCCCCAAACACTCTCCTGGTGGGGGTTGTGCATATTGTGTTGCCCTTACGCCCTGCCGGTTCTGCGTGTGGACAGCGGGTGCGCTGAGCTTCCCTCAGCCACAGCTTGTGCATGGCTTATTTAGGCCCTGACTCTTTGCCTGG